TTGCTGGGATTATAGAATCCACTAATGTTCAGAGTGTGAGTATTTCAGCTCTTCACATTTTTTTCATTTTTCCATTAGAAATGCACAGAGCAAGTAGCAGAGCAGAGAGTGACAGATTTAGCACCAGCTCCAGTTCTGGGTACAATATTACTTCCATAATTCCCATTGAGTCAGCACAGGATGACTGGCCCAGTCCCAGAGCTGTGTGTCCTGTCAGGTGCCCCAGGTTCAGACACATTTCCCAGTAAATTCTTTAATTGCTGTCTCTATTCTCTAAGTCAGGAAAGACCTGGCTTTTTCCAGAGCTGATGGGCAGATCTCATTTTGAGCTTTTCTTTGCAGGACAGAATATTGGTCTCTGCAATGGGAAGCTGAAAGCTATGTCTGGGGAAGAGCTGGACCAACTGGAAGAGGCAGAGCTGTCATCCACTGTCCAAAATGTAATGGTTTTGATTACATAAACAAGACCTATTCCCAACAGCTTCCATCCAATACAAGATTAATTATATTTTGTTTGTTTTCTGTTGTTTCAGGTTTCCATTTTTTTCAGAACAAGTCCAAAGCACAAACTAAAAATAATAAAGGTACTAAAAGCTTCTCAAATCCTTTGCATGTCTCTCAAAAACAAGGGGGAGGGGGAGCCAGAGTTCTCTAGATGACCTGGTCTTCCACGGCAGGATCAGCTCAAACTAAAGGACTGTCAACACTCAGCTAGAGCACTGGCACTATTTACACTGAAGGTTTTAGATATGGAGTGGAACTTGATGATCCTTGAGGTTCCTTTCCAACTCAGGATATTCTGTGATTTCTCTTGCAAGTGTGGCCCGGGCATTTAAAAGACACTAGTGAGCTATTAGCAAGCATAATATCAGGACAATGATTTCTGAGGACTTGACTCCCCTCTTCTAACTTCTGCTGGAGTTATGAGATGCTCTATACTTCTGAAAATCCAGTCTCTTAATTCTTGGTCTGAGTTTTGTCCTCAGTGGCTGCTGAGCCTGCTCTACCCTCAGAGTCACACAGCACTTCTGCTCCCCCGATGTTATTGCAAACCCTGTGATTGCCTACAGGACTTACTTATCTTCTGGCTACAGAACCTGTCACCTCTCCTCTCCCACAGGCTTTGCAGAGGGCTGGTGCTGTGGTGTCCATGACAGGAGATGGTGTCAACGATGCCGTGGCCCTGAAATCCGCGGATATCGGGATCGCGATGGGACAGGCCGGCACGGACGTGAGCAAAGAGGCTGCCAACATGATCCTCGTGGATGATGACTTCTCAAAAGTAATGTAGGTTTAGCCACTTTCTTACCAGCAGGCACTTTCTTACTCCAGATACTTTCTGGCCATCCATTGCAGCAAGTTTGTTGTGTAACTAGCCCTGGGAACAAGGCAAGATGCAGGACATGTACGTGGACTCAGTGTGGGTCCAGCTCATTTTCAGTTGCATACACAAGTGGTGGTGACAAAGCCCTCTTTCACCTGAAAGCTCTGGTTTCTCGTTGCTGTAGCTAACTGGGGGTCTGAGAGCACCTACCCAGAAGTCTGGGTAGATCAGAACTTTCTTGGCCAAAAGTTGGGCTCAACAATCTTGGAGGTCTTTTCCAACCTTTATGATTCTCACTTGCTCACTTCCTCATCCAGGAAGCTCAGAGGAAAAACATAATTTGCAATGCTCTGTTGGTTCTTAACAACAGAGAGAGTGGGCAGAGTCCAGTAGGGATATAAATAGATCCTAGGCCTGCTTCATGAACCAAAACCTGGCCATGTGACCCATGTTTTCAGATCTTCTAGTTCTGATAAAGTGACTGTAAGTGAGAAGCTGCATTGACAACCTCATCCTGAGCTGTGCTCTGAATTTCAACTGAAATAAGGGCTAGAGAAGACAATTTGTGTTTGGAATGTCACAGGGAGCTCAGTGTAAAACAGTGTGAGTGCTCTTTACTTAATAAACTCTCCTCTCCCTTCCAGGAATGCAATAGAAGAGGGAAAGGGAATATTTTACAACATAAAAAACTTTGTCCGGTTCCAGCTGAGCACGTAAGTTCCTGTTTGCTTCACTTCCAATGAAAGCACCTTCGGGGAGAGTCCCTGCAGAATCATGTTCTTCTGTGCTTTGCAGGAGTATCTCAGCTTTGAGCCTAGTTACTCTGTCAACAGTGCTCAACCTACCAAATCCGCTCAATGCTATGCAGATCTTATGGATCAACATCATCATGGATGGGCCGCCAGCCCAGAGGTATGGAAGTCACATGAGCAATACATTCTTGGCTTTGATTCCTCATCAATGCACTAATTATTTGGTGGTTATATAAGACAAATTGTGCTTTTATTCCCTCCTGGTCTGTCCAAAAGCATTTACTTCACATTTATGTGTTGCTATTTCATGATAGAATCACTTAACTATGCCATTTTTTGGCCAGGAATGGTCTGTTATCCTGAGAACATCACCAGCTCATAGACTGGGAAGGGAATACTGGGTACATGTGGGGGAGTATGCCCCAAAATCACAACACTTAGGAACCTCATCCAACTGCTGATTACAACTACAACCAATTACAATTACTGCTTCCACAACATGGAAGAGATGTTGGCCACACTCTCAGAGTTAGCTCTCCCTCTGGCACAGGGAGATGATATGATGGTCTAATGTGTCATTTTAGCAGCTCCATATGCAAAAGAGACCTTTGGTGTTGGTGTCACAGACAAATTTGGGGCCTTTTGTCACCCTGCTGTATTCCAAAGAACTGCTTCCTCCAGCTCCACCCTGGTGTATCAGCAGTACCTTTTTGGGATGCCCTGCATTAACTAAACACATCCCTCTGCTTCTCTTGGAGGCAGCTTGGGAGTTGAACCTGTTGACAGGGACGCCATCAAACAGCCCCCCCGGTGTATCACAGACACCATACTCAGCAAATCACTGATCCTGAAAATCTTCATGTCAGCTCTCATTATCATCAGTGGAACCCTCTTTGTCTTCTGGAAGGAGGTGAGGAAAATCTGCAACTGGATCTTGTTTTCATCAGGGTGGAGAATGAAGGGAAGGGCAGTTTCTCAAGGACATGCAAAGGACTTTCAGGGATGTATCCTGTGGGGAAGGATCAGTGTAGGCAGAGGGTTAAGAAACCAGGGTCAGCTCATATCTCTGCTTCTGCCTTCCTGTGTTGCCTCTAATTTGGAGCTTCCTAACTACAATAGGAAAACTCTTACTTGCTGTGGTATCGATGCTTTAAGGGACTTTCCACTTCTCCCTTTCCATGTAGGTAGAAAATGCCAAGTGCTATGGCTTGCTGCTGGTAAATAGTGACTCTTACTTTAACAGTTTAGGTAATTTAATTTAGAATGTCCTTTACTCAATTCCACATCATTTTAAGAATTTAAAACATAGTTGATAAAATCATAATCTCAAAAATCAGTAGAGAGAAATTAATGCTACCTATAATAGCTAGAACTCGATTGACTCCTTTGTTTTATTACCCTTTGATATGACTGGGATCATTAAAGGGAACATTTAATTCACCTACTGAATTGACATATTTTTGTAAGGCTTACCTAAGCTCTGAATTTTAAATCTGCTTCCAGAATCCAAAAGGTGGCATAACTCCTCGAACCACAACGATGACTTTTACCTGTTTTGTGTTTTTTGACCTCTTCAATGCCCTGACATGTCGCTCTCAGGTGAGATTGCTCTGTCAGCAATAATTTCTTGTCTCAAATCACAAACATAAACATTAGAATACCAGCAGTTTGCATAGTAAGGGGTTTTTTTAATGTCATTTAAAGCAATGTGATTTTTATCAACTTTTTATTTATATAAAGTTATCCATCACAGTTCAACTGCAACTACTTTCAACTATGTAATTCTGCCTAAGTTAGTGTTTATGTAACTTCAAAAAGGGAGTTTGCATGTAAAGAAACATTGTGATATTATGTTCCAGCAGAGATTCACATTTCTCTTCCCCCCCCCCCCCCCACTTCTCTAGACAAAGTTGATACTTGAAATTGGCTTTTTTCGGAACCGCATGTTCCTGTATTCCGTGCTTGGATCATTTTTGGGACAGCTGGCTGTTATATACATCCCTCCACTACAGAAGATCTTCCAGACAGAGAATTTAGGAGTGTTAGGTAAGTTGCAAAATAAATAATGGTTTGGTTTTTCTTTCATTTAAGCTACTTTAAAAAGCAGACGCCATTCCCAGTTTGTTTCATGTTACCTCCCACCACATCTCTGTAGAGGAAATCAGCTCTATAGAGGAAAACAGCTCCTATACCTTTATGTTTACACATAATTATACACAAATAGTAGTAGTATTTAATTATATTATCCCAGCCTAGGTTTTGAATTTTGATTTACTGCACATAATTGCAAGTAAATGGAGACATGCCAAGATCTTCCATGAGGTCTGATGTTTCTGTCCATAAATCTATCTCGGATCCTTGTGCACTCCCTTCAGAAAGTGCAGGGTGACTGTTTCCCAGCTGAAATGCAATGCAGGTTTCACCATTTGAATCAGCAAACTCCACCCTACCACACTGTGTTGCATCCACATCAGGTCTGTTGCCATAAGCAGTGGTCAATGATCCCAAATTATTAATGTAGAGGTTTCCACCCTCTGAGCAGACCCAGCTATGGGTCCCTTGTTCATTGCAGCGGTTTCCCTAATTCTCCAGCTGGCAAAGGCACGGCAAGGCCATGCACCCATGGGTTACACCAGCACAAATGCCAGCTGCAGGAAGGCCCTGCCCTGGGATTCTTGCCCAGCTGAGCTCCCCTGCACTCTGTTTCCTCCCCCAGACCTGCTGTTCCTCACTGGACTGGCTTCCTCAGTGTTCGTGGTGTCCGAGCTCGTCAAACTGTGTGAACGACGCTGCTGCCGCCCAGGGCACACAAAGGGATGTCACACCTGACTCAGACCTCCTCTAAAACACTCTTGGAACAGAGCTGTGATGCTGGATAATCCAAATGCATCTCTTTCTGCTGCCACACATCCTTCCTGAAGATACCCACGTGCACCTGTACCAACAGTCTCCTCTACACGCCCCACCTGAGCTGTTCCACAGAAACCTCTGCAGCAGCTCCGGTTTCAAACCAAGAGCAGGTATATTTTTATAACATATGTCAAGAAGGCTGTGATAGTCCCAGACAAAATAAGAGTTTCACACCTGTACAGAAAAATATATTGTGCATAAACTGAAATTTTATTTATTTAAATCAAAGTCATTTTTATTAATAAAATCTACATTTTTAAATGTTATTGACAAGTATCTGTGTGAGACTTGATTTAGACCTGTCCTTTTACATTAAATTAGAAGACTGGAAAAGACCTGCCTTCATTAGCACTTCTTTTCCTGTAGTCAATCTGTAGTGTTTCTAGATTTCCAGATAGCCAGCCTTGATTCAGCAAGCCTTTCAAGGAAACTGTGGGGAGATGGCAGAGTAGAGAGCTGAAGTGCCAACGCTCAGCTGTCTTTTTTGGTACCTGTGTGACTAAGAGGAGCAAACTGGAAGGGTGATGTGATCCAAAGCACAGCAGTGCATGGATTTAATGGGGAAGGGAATTGCTTTCACAAGCACTGAGAATAAAAATGAGTCACACACAGAGCAGGGATGTTGAGCTTTGCAGTTGTATCAAGAGCTGCACAAAAGGGACTGAGATGTTTAGATCACAGCTAAGCCCACTGCTGACAAATGCTTTCTGGATGTTTTAGGTGCATGAGCAGAAAGCCCAGAGTGCTTAATCATTAGGTTCAGGGGGAAAAAAAAAAGTTGAGTCTCTCCCAAGCCCATCTTTTACATTTAAAGAACAATTTTGAACAATCCCACCTGCTGGTTGGATCAGTAGTGTCACTGAGACATTTGCTAAAGTGCCATAGTGTCAGTTTTCCTCTTGCTCCAGCTTAACACCTTCACTTCAAAGTGAAGATGAAGAGTCTCAGACACAAACTTGTCAAAAAACTACACTTTCAGAGGTCACAATGCTATGCTGATTGTCACAACATGATGTTTAAACAGGATTACATTTTGGATTCATAGTCTGAAAAGAAACAGCTATCCTGATACTTATTATAAATCAAAGACAACTTGGCCACTGAAATACTTATGGAGAAGAGTAGCTTTGTGAAACTCACCCTCCCCAGACACAGCCTGCTCACCATTTTTTTAAAAACCCTTGCAAAGAGTTTCAGTTCTCAAAGACAAGTCTCCGCCTTCTAATGGAAGGGAAATAAAGTCTAGCTGCTTATTTTATGTGTAACTGCAGAAATTCAGCTGCCTCATTACTGTATGCCATCCACTTGGAGTACCCAGTGCCTAAGTGGAAAAGACCTCTGAGACTTATGGGGGGAGTTTGAGAATGTTCAAACAAAAGCTGGTACCACCACACCTACACAGAGCTTCATGTACTGACTTGCTGTCTATACAGTACTCCCTACATTGTACTATTTAACATTCTTATTAATATATACAGAGAAGAAAATTATACAAATTATCAGTGCAATTGGTTTGCTTCTTACATTTTTTTTCTACGTGTTACAAACTTGGGAGACTTTCAGGTTTTTCTTTAAGCAAAAACAGGATAAAAGGACATTAGTTCAGGCCTTCCACAGCACACTCTGTACTGGAACAAACAGCATATATGCCCCAGTCATTAGTTCAGGTACTATACAAAATGCACAGTTGAGTTCTAGGATGTCTGGCTGGAGTGATTTCTTCATGTTCTCCTTTCAAGCCTAAGTTCACTTTGTTTAACAAAATCAAAAAGAATGGGACCTACATTAAGGCACAAGTGCAGATTATTCAGAATATTCAAATCTGGCTCCCTGTGAAAAACAGCAGGTGGGGAAAAAAAAGACCACACACAAGAAAACACTAAGGGAAAGAATTTGAAGGAAGGCCACATGATCAGGAATTGTAGAATTCTGGTACATTTTTTGCTCTAAGCTGCACAGAAGACAAAGTCATGCCAGGACAAAGAGGATTGGGTACAGTCCTTTTCCTCAGGATGAGAAAGATTGACAATCACAGACACCAATAACCAAACACTATTTGCTGAGTTAGAAATTACACTCCCTGGTAAAAATTAGGGTTATTTTTGACAAGTTAATGACACATAGAATTAGCGAGGTCAAACTAATTACTGATAGATGAGAACAAATTCAAGTAGAAAAAGCCCTGAGTACAAGAGACCTGGCAAAACTGGTGCTGACTGGTGAACAGTCACAAAACAGAGCAAAAACCCCCAAACAACTGCAGGCATTTTTTTCCATAATGCAGTAATGATTAATTATGTGGAAATAAAGTGTACAGCAATCTTCTTTAAACATTTTACATAACCCTGATTTTTATTTCTTCTACAAGGTATCTGCAGATCCTATTCCCAATTAACTGGCTTCCTTTTTAGTCCAGTCTCAAGTGAGGCTACTAAAGAAGTTACCTTCCCTGGAGAATTTCTGCTGAAAGTATGGCCCATTTTTAGGAAAAATATGGCTGAATGATTCCAGTGATTCTGTTTTACTAAGTTTAAAAAACAACAGACAAATTTCTGCAGAAACAGCTGAAGTGAGATGCACTGAACTATAGTGTAGTATTATAAACCTTGTTGCTGTATATGAATATTCTGGACATCTTACAGTCCATATGGAGTCACTTGCTAAAAAACCAACTTAGAAAATGTCAAATTTAATGCTTTAACCAAAGCAATGCAAACTAATAGCACCCTTCATATGGAATCGTGTGGACTACTCTCTGTTTACCAATGTAAGACATCATTACAATTTGCAAATTCACTGACTAATTTCATTGCATGCAAATAAATCTGTGCAGTTGAGGTATAAAAGCCTTAATCAGTGTCTTGGACAGTCTCTTTTTATATATATATATATATATATATATATATATATATAAATATCAGTTCTCCAAGTCAGTAAACCATACTGTCGATATCTTCTGCTGCTTTCAATTTAGTTTTCAGACATGATCTATGGGGAATGCAAGCAAATTCATATTCAACTAGGACTCAGACATGTCTAATGATTGTGTCCCCAGTTATTTTTTCTGTCCTCCCCAAACAAAACCCTTCAGGCAGAATATTGTATTAGACCTAAATATTACATAAGTACGAGGTTTAAGCTTTGTCCCAGATAATTAGGTAAATTTAGGGGGAAAAAAAAGAAAAGAGGAAAAAATACGCTGTCCAAGGAACATTAACACTTGGAAGCAAATAAAAATAAAAGGGTTTTCATTTTACTGTGATTCCTTTAGTTCTCATCATCCTCATCCTCTTCAATGGGTTCCCGGAGACCTTCGCTGTGACGACTTTTTCCAGCCATTTCCAATAGGGCCTGAGCCTCAGGATCCACATCCAGGATACTCTTCTTACCTTTTGTCTGCAAAAGAAAATAAAACATACTCAATTTAAAATGTCAATATCAGTCTACGGGAAAGAGACACACTCAAGAGAAGTCCATAAGTGATCTGGTTTGCAGGTTTGGCACAATGGAGCAGACACACTTTCCAAGTAAGGCATTTAAGATTCACTGGAATACATCAAATTATTTTTATAGCTGCAGTTACACAAAATAGCCATAAACTTCTCCTAAGATGACAGTGAACTATTTCAAGTTTATTCAGGTTACAAGCCAACCAGAACATCCTGGCTAACCTCACCTCAGACTGAAGTGCAGAAGTAAGGGGGTTTTTTTAAAGAAGAGATTCAATTACAATTTGACGTTTTCTGTAAACAGCTTGTTCTGTTTCTATTTAGAGCTCTGTGTCCAGTGAAGTCAAGGCACACAAATTTAGTATGAAAAGAAGTAAAAATTTGAAAAAAAAAAAAAAACAACACCAAGCTGTACAGACCAGACAGTTTAATATAAGAATAAATTACGGGGACAGAGGAGAGTGGAAAGAGGGCTCCTGCTCATTCCCAGAAATAAACCAAGTGCAGAAAGACTGGCATCAATTGAATCACATAAACTTATTGAAAAACAAGAGTAAATTTAAAGCTACTGATAAAGAAATCTTCAGGGTCTGTTCCTGAACTAGGCTTTACTTGAGAGTTTCCAGTGCTTGCTTTCTGTTTTATAAACATTGGGTTTTACTGAACCCCTCTCCAAGGAGGTTCCTCCTCGAGACCATTCGTCAATATTGGAAACGCCTTTGGAAATTCAGAATAAAGTACTGCTCTTCTGACTCTATCACCTCTTGGCTCCTGAAGGTCTTTCTTGTTGGCAACCTCCACAATTCCACTACTGTTTTGCTATTTGCCTGCTACAAAATATATGGCACCACAGGGCCAGTTATAGAAAATATTATTAATTACAACAGAGAGAGAGAGAGAGTTTAATGAGAAAACTGCAACTGTGGGTTTTGCATGTTCTGTTCCAACCAGGACACCATTTCACAGGTTCACCTACCACGCTTTCAGGGACATCTCCCACTGCCCAGACTTCCATGGCATCCAGTGTGAAATCCTCTTTGGCTGACAGCTGGGGGCTGTTGTAGGTGGTACATCGAGGTTTGGCTTTGCTGTGTCCCTTCCCATAGTCACTGTCTATCCAGAGCCCAAAGTATCCATGTTGTCCACCCATACCCTGTCAACCAAAGCAGCACATTAAACACTGGCTGCACAGGCAGAACAGACTGGGAAAGTCATGAAGCCTAGAGAATAAATTGCTGTGCTCAGTGTTTGTGCCACACTTCTATGGGGAGGTTAAAAAAAGGGGGATTCTGAGTGAACCTGGGCTTCTGTACCCACATCTTGCATTCCTGAAGACAGACAAGAATTTACTTGAGTGATACTGCCCTCCCTCTACACTTCACAGAATACCAGTATCTGTGAGTTGTACCAGAAATTTAGCTCCTGGTTTTCAAACAGGAGTGACAGTGCCCTGGTTTGCTGCCTCTTTTCCATTTAGAAAAGCATCTACAGAAACAAATAACATAACTTGATGTTGTTCACTTTCGTTGGAACAAATTCATTCCACCCTGCTGCAATTCCCAAAGTTATGGGCATGTAACGCTGCAAAACTGCAAAGCAGTTTCAAAACAGGTAGTGTGTGGTAGCTCTGTGGAAACTCCTCTGCAGCTGGAGAGCTCATTTGTGAATTTGAGTAAGAGAAGCTTCTGCCACTGTAATGACACAGCAGCAGCAGCTACTTGCAATGTTTGCACTCTAATTCTGTTGGGTTTTCTCTTCCAGCATTTAAAAAGCAGTTAGTGTGGCAGTGAGAGCAGCCAGGGGAAGGATCCTCAGTTACACAGATCAGCTATTTTGTGCTGCTCCAGTGGTGTGGATATGAGCAGTCAATTCGTCCAGGGAGGACACCTAGAAGGACTTCTGTGATAACCAAACTTGGCAAAAAGGTTTCTTCCCAGAACCTCCAGAAATTTAACCTACATAAAGCCCACCTGCTTGGGTCACACGCAAATAAATTCCATCTTAGTTGATTCAGTACTTCAATATACATATTAACTGTAAAGAAAAGTATGGGCTCTATCAGTGCTGTAAGCAGCTCTCCATCATCATTCATAGCTCATACTTTACACTGATGCTTTAACACAAAAAAAGAAAAAATCCTCCTACTAAAAGTGGGCCACAAGGGATGCAAACTTCCTCAGAGAATAAAAAGTGAAATAAATCTGCTCTCAGAAACAGAAAAAAAAAAAAGCAAAAAAAGTCTTCCAAACACAAGCTACAAATCCAATTTCCAGATTGTCATTTCTGAATACTTACAAGCCCATTTGGCATAGTCTGTTGGCCATTGTTCAAATACATGAAGTGGTCATTGTACCCTGTGTATGTGTACACAGCAAGAGAGGGGAAAACAGAAAACAGAAAGCATCTGTTGTCACCTGTAAATGGAAAAGCACCTGAAGTCAGACAACTGGTCACACAATAACTTGTCTACAAATAGGATAGAAAAATTAATGGAAGAAGTGAAGCTGAATAGCTCAAAGACAGCAGCTGCCACCTCAGAAAGCCAGTAGCTATCTCTCAGCAAGATCTAGACCTGTTGTTTACTCTCAGGTAACTCTGTGCAGTCACAGACATTGATGCAATTATAAGCTGTGATCAAGGGCAGTCAGAGGCATGACTAGGACATTATGTCACTGTGTGAGAGCACACCTACCACAGGCTGCCTTCTGTCATCTAAAACTGGCCAGCTGCCAGATCTGCACAAACTGATGGGAGTGCAAGACACCCTTGGTTCTGACTACATTGATACATAGATCAGTTCAGAGCTGAACTGATAGATAGATAGATAGATAGATAGATCAATGATTTAGAGCACAACTTTTATTATGTCCAGTCTGGTACTCAGAGGGACCTGTGCTGTGCTTGACTAATACACTGTACGTGCTATTCTATCAGGAAAAAAACACAAGGAAATTGTGTAATCAACATAACATAACACTATATTAACTGACTGAAGTGGTAATTATCAAATACTAATTAAGTATAGGAAGTGAGTTTCTGATGTAGCCAAAGTGAGGATTCCCAACAGGACGGATTATCCAGAGCCCATAATTGTTTTTTCAAAAATCCATCACAAAAGTTCTTTCCAAAGAGTTATGAAAAAAACCTTCTCTTCTCTACTGAGGTTTCAAGGGAACAAAAAGTTTAGTTTGTCCAAAGAACCCTTTGGCTGCTGGATTTTAGAAGGAAAACAAAGACAGACAGTGCACAACTGACAACAGGAGGCTCAACCTGGCATTTGGCTCAGGTGTTCCTGATGGAACACTGCCATCCTGTGGACAAATCATTTAATCTCTAATCATCTGTGCTGTACTTCCTTAATTTTCATTTACTTTTCAACCTATGCAGCTACAGGGCTTGATAAATTTCCTTGAAAACTTGCTCCGAGATCAGTAAGTCCTGCAATTTTAAAGGTCTTATCAAACAGCAAATTATAAATATTAATCTGTAACATGCCTGACTGCCATGCTAAGAATAACTCCACATGTGTTGTGCTTTTTTTTTGAAAATTAATGTTATTTTTGCCACAGAAAAATACACTTGGGAAGTGTAAGAAACACTGTATGTCATGAAAGTAAAGTGACAGTATCCATGAAGTGGATATTAAGTATCCATTCTTGTACCTGCACGGAACAGGGAATGTTTACCAGAACCATGGGTTACGAAAAAAAGTGAGTTTTACCTTGAAACTGTGGCTTCACCTCCCAGGAGTGAGATGCAAACCCACCAAAGAGAAAACCATCCAAGTCCTTCAGGATCACTATGCAAGGCCCTTTGTTCACTATGTGCCCACACAACTGTGAAAAGCTTTCCCCGTGGAGCCTGGAAGAAAATAAAAGCCGCCACTTGTGCTGTAGCTCTGCAGGCAGGTGGGAGTTGATGTATATGATGGATGGGATGTCAAAGAGGCTGACAAGTCCTCTTCCTTTCATGCCTTTGCAGCGGGGAACCAGGTTGAGGATGTCGTTGGTTTGGTCTGGGAGAGAATGGAGAACGTGGAGGCCCTGCCTGATCACAACACTGAGGAAAACTGAGACCTGAGGAACTCTGTACACCCAGTCCTCAACGACACTCGGGTCAAAACTTGTCTCCAGCAGCTGAGGACCCACAGGTTTCGTCCCATCTAAATAATAAGACATATAGAAACAGGAGTAAGTTTCCCAGTCTGGAAAATAATCAGCTGATTTTTAAGTGTAAACACAATATTTCATTATTTTAATGGACAGCAAACCACATGTGAAAGGAGCCATGACAGTAAAGTGTCAACTACATTAAGCAAATGCAACCACAGAATTAAGATCTACTTGTGATATTCATTGGCTGGGCTGTTGTAATTTATAAACATGGGCTCCTGGCTACAACTTAGGGGATGTTCTTTGCAAGACAGCAAAATCTGTTATTACAACAGTGCAAAGACAGACCTGTGCTTTGTAAAAGGACATGTGGTCATAAATACATGATAAATATATTCAAATAAATAATACTTAGATGCCCATGCATCTAAATACCCATCATCTGCAAGCCAGGGGTTTGTAGAACAGACATGTTCCACGACAAATAGTTTTGCGTTTCCACCTAATTTGGGACGTCAACCCAAAGCTCTCCTGAATTTAGGGGAGAAAGTTGGTAAGGTAAAATAAATAAAATTCCCATGCCAGGAGATCAGTGATTACAGGAGCTCTAAGATCTGCTACACCAAGGGTGCTTACCTGCAAGCTTCAACTCTGAGAGCAGCTGAGAAGCCAAAGCCTTTACTCCACTGGCAGAATCCCGAGTATTCTCCAAAGTCCAGCCTTTCAGTTCCTTCCTGTAGCTCAGTACATGGACTAGAGACATGATCAGATCCTCTGTGAACTGACAAGATTAAAACATCACCATTTTGGTATTTCTCAGAGGAAATTGCCAAGAGCTTCAATGGACTGTCTGAAAATAAAGTCAAGTAGTACTGATGCTGTAATCCCAAGGCAGAAACTTCTCTTGCCATGACAAGTCAGGAACTACAGAAATGCTATTTCAGTGTCATAGGTCTGGAAAATAAGCCTTTTTCGATATTTTGTACATGTTACTCCATAAAGCAACTCCATAAAATATGGCATGAAAGAAGGAGTGGAGGACCAAGTTTTGCAGTGGTAGGAGCTGCTGGTGAATTACTGTTCTGCGAGATCCCACTCTTTCACCTTGCAAGCTATATTTGATTCCCACAACTCTCCTGCAACTAAAGCTCTAACAAGTATTTTGCTCAATTTCCAGAAGCATCAGTCACACCACAATCCTTGCTGGCTCTTAAATACAGCCCTGCTCTCTTACTGTCCCCCCACACACACATTTTAACTGCCCCATTTACCTCTTGGATTTGTTTGCCCTTCACGGGCCCTTCTGTCTTGGAGATCATTCTCATTATTATGGCAATCTTCTCATCTGCATTCCCTTTTAAGAGGTCTGACATAAAAATTACAAACTGCTCCTTAGCAATCTGTTCACTCAGCCCAGATGATTTCCCAGGCAGGTCAATGCTTTTCATCCCGTTGTACAACCGAACAGTCATTTGCTCTGGCAGTGCCTCCCGAGTATGTGCCTGGGAGAAACAGCAAAGAGCACATTTTATAAGTGAAGAATAACTAATGTATTCCAGCTAATCTGTGCTGAGATGTAGTATCTACTATGAGCAACAAACTTCCATCAAAGGACTGGTTTTCCAAGAGAAAAAATAAAATATCTTTATTTTTATAGTGATTATTTACTGATTCAGGTTGATGTTGATACTGGACTTCAGAAAAACAACACTGTAAAGTCTTAACAGGATATTAGCAAAGTGTTTCTACATGATAACTCTGTTGCAAAGGTTTACAATTTTGCCAGTCAAATATTCAAAATCATGTTTCATGTCTGCTTTTGACAGTGGAGCTCACAGATATTTAAAACCAAAGAGAAGGTAAAGTGTTTGCCATGTCTCAGTTTTGGCCACAAAACAACGTGTTTAACTCTGTGCACGTGCAGAAACAATCCTGAGGAATTTCCCTCTGCACATCAACTAATTGAAACATGGAACAAAGTTGGGATCCCTTGATTTTTGTAAGGCAACCCTGATGTTAAGACAGGTGAGATCAGGAGTTATTCATCTGAATGGCATGCCTGGCCCTTTGAACTGAAATCTAACTGATACACATCGTCACACATCACAGCTCTGTGGGGAAGATCTGACTCTGCATTCAACTTTCACAGTGTTCAAGATAATTACATGGTTTAAAAATAAATCATCTCAAATACATGCACACACTAGGACATGATTACAGAGCATCCTCACTGTGCACAGCATGTTGAGGACCTGCCTTGACTGTTCTGTACAGGGGTGTAGCCCAGTGGGGACTATGCTGAAATCAATTGAGCTGCACCTGCCAAAAACACTATTCCAGCTCCATTTACTGATTTGCTGGCTCAATACCACTCCTCTGGAAGCCACCTGGGCTGTTCCTATTTGATGCTAATGGTTGTTGCTGGGCATATAGAGATCCAATATCCCGAGCTCTACCCTACTTTCATTGACGTCAGTGGTAGAATTCCCATTGATTTCAGCAGGAGCAGAAATAGCAGCCACAGTCCTTCACATCAGAGTGCTCCATATTGAGGGAGGGATGGTCACAGGGGGTACAGCTGTCTTCGAGAGGCTTTCTGAAAATGCTACATGAGCCTGAAGTGGGAGAAGCAGCAGGGAACACAACTAAAACCTTATACTCAAGGGCTTTTTACTTCACACTGTTGAATCACCTACCTACTCCCTGCCTTATCCTGCCCACCACTCATTTTGCTTTTAGCTCTTCCAAAGAGTAGACCTGGGGTGCAAAGAAAGGAGATGTGTAAAAAAGGAACCTTTAATAAACATCTAACTGACTCACGCTTCTGACAGTTTAGAATCCTTGTCTTAAATGGCTTCAAGAAAGGATCTAGAGATTCCTGCTCTGCCTGCTTCCCAAGCTGTGCAGTGCAGCCTGCTCTGGCCCAGAAGCCATGTAGTTTCCTTCTAGCAAAACATGAGCCTAAGCAGAGTCCATGAGGTAATGCCTGGGGACTCATCAGTGTCACCAGACTGTTGCTAGAACAAACCTGCCACATCTCAGTCTAGCCCAGACATGAGCAGAGTCACCTATGAGGCAGGAATGCCACAGGAATTGTCCCTGCACCAAGGAACTGGGCACCTACAGGCAGCCTTCCAAGATTTGAATGTAAGTTGGCAAACAAAAAGGCAGGAAGTGAAAAGACAAATGTTCATCAACCATCACACTGATCTAGAGGTAAAGCTAGAAATAACTTCTTCCAGGTCCCAAACTGGTAAAAGACACCAAGGACAGGTTCTTGGATAAGCAGTGCTGAAAAGCCAGGCAGCAGCAACACTGTTTCCAAACTAGTGGCAGCTCATGAACAGCCAGGCTGCAGAAGGCTAAAGCTGGTCTGTATGCAGAGGAACTGCTAAATACCTTAAAATAACCTGCTGCTTCCAATGAGTTTTAATTTGATCCCATTAGCTGTGTAACATATATAAAAATGCACTTTACCACTACATTCATTTGGCCACTTAGCTCCTGCCTAACTGAAGTTATCAACCATTTCAGCAAATCATTTTTCTCTTTTCTTGATTAGAAAATTAATTCAAAGTTAATCAGAAGCATATTGCATGTTAATTAGCTAAAACAGGGAATCACAGCTTAATCAAGCAAAATTGAATTCTCTCCTTTTAGTGCAAGTGAAGAGATTAGAGGTGGTGATGCATTGAGGGAGACAGATATAACCAAATACAAACTGACTTTGTGACAGCTTCTCCAGAAAATCTGTAAATAATCCCACACTATAGATTCCAGGGGGGAAAATATTCTTCCCATTTTTCAAGTTGCTGTAAAAATATTTCCATACATTCCAATTTATTTCAGAATCAGGAAAGCTACAAATGGACCCAACAGTGCAACTTAAGAGATAAATAAAGGCCTGAAATTCACTACTCATGTTAAACTGTAAGAGAAAGTCAAAATCCATCCCGCTCAAAACATTAAGTATTCAATTGAGATGAGCAATCCTTTAAAAGTAACTACTGCCACATCTTTAATTTCTTTCTGGAATTCTGATTGATTCACTACATCTCAGCTATATAATAATAATAGATTGTCTTGCCTGTAGTGCTGCCAGAGTCATAGTTTTCTTTGTAGCTTTGGCATTTTTTCCTCCAGCTGAGCCACTTGATCCCGATAAGGCATCAAACACTCCATCAATGTCAGTCTGCTCCTCAGGAAGAAATCTGGAAAGGTGATTGTGATAGGCATTGCTTTCTGCATTTCCCATCTTTTCAACCTGAAGCAAAGGAAAAAGAATTAAAAAAAAAAAAATTAAACACAGAAAGGTATCACAAGGGCCATGGAAGACATATCAAACTGACTAACATACCAGTGCAAGTTTAACAAGAAAAGCAAACTACTACCCTTCCAGGAAATTATTAAAACTAGTGTTTAGTCTCTGTATTCACTGAGACTTAATGAATTTGGAGAACATCTGTAACTGTGTTTTAAAAATTGACAATCTGACAGCTCTTTGCTAATATCCCCCATCCACCAATGCAAACATCATTCAAGTCTCTATCAAATGGAAAAACCAATATGATCTAATGGTTAAATTAGCTTATACAAAGTGACCATGAGTCTAACAGCTGCAATACAGCCCTAACATGAAGGAAAAAACCTGATTATGGATTATTTATGACAGATTATGCTACATCATTCTGATGCATTAATGGACTGAAGCTATGTCTGCCAATATGATGTGGCACTAAAACACCGTCAGGGAAAAGCCTCTGAAAATGACGAGAATGTTTTTTTCTAAGGACACAATACAAAAATATTTTGAAACAAAGTAACAAAAACATTTAGGAACAACACAAGACCTATTAAAAACACACAGGTTTATGTGAAGTCAATAAATCATTGAGAGTTGGTACCCACAGAATTAAGGTTGGGGGAGGCGGGGGGGGGAGGGTTGATTTGGGGTTTCCTTGTTTGCTTGTTTTACACATTTAATGGTACAACTACGATTTCTCTCACTGTCCCAGGATTCACCTGCACTGGGGTAGATACATGTCTGGGGTAGACATGTCTGGGGTGACATTAAAAAGAAGGTAAGATGTGGAATAAAACATCCTTTTGTAGTTTTCTTTCTGTAATTTCCATATCCTTCCTGACACCTCTTCTTCGGTTTGTGATTCCCAGTTCCACGGGAATCTCTTTTTGCAGACAAGGCCATCACACAGCCCTTCAGCCTCCCCAGAAGGACACAGTGTTGAGCCTAATGCAGTATTTTTATTGCTAACTGCTGCGTTGTTTACCGCACACAAGAGGCCGGGTCGGGCAGCCTCACCTTCAGGCCTAAAGCCCTGTTTGCCTGCGAGGAAAATTTCGATCGTGGGGTAAACCCCGAAGAGTGAATGGAAACCACCGTGACCGTGGCGACACGATTAATTTAAATTAGCGAACCGCTGGAGAACGAGGGTCCTTGAAAGGTTCATTTCCCGCTGTGCTCAGCCCATCCCTCCCCGCCCGGCTGGGCAGCCCTGGCGTGTGTGTGTGTGTGTGTGTGTGTGTATGTGTGTGTGTGTGTGTATATCTGTGTGTGTGTGTGTGTATGTCTGTGTGTGTGTGTCCGACCCCCTCCCGGTGACAAGGCAGCCCTGAGGCGAGACCCCCACCCTGACAGACCTCCCCGCTTACCGGCAGGGCTCCCCCGGCCCCTCTCCGCCCCCGAGACCGTCACACAGAGCCCGGCGCCATCCGGCGCCTCAGCCCGCCCGGCCGGGGCGGAGCGCGGCCGATAGAGCCGCCCCTCAGGCGGCGGGGAGGGAGGGACGGAGGGGAGGGATGGAGGAAGGCAGGGAAGGGAGGGACCGGGACAGCGGGGCTTTCGGCACCCCGAGCCCGAGGGGAGAGGCGGGCGGTGCCGCAGCCCACTGTGCAGGGCGGTGAGGAGGCGGCCGGAGAGCTCCGGAGACCGGCGAGACCTTGGCGGCCCCTTCTCCCTGAGGACATCCTTCGCCTTCAGGGGATCCTCCTCCCTGAGGGGACTCCTTTCTTTGAGGGAAATCTCCCTGACCCTCTCTCCTGAGACAGCCTTTCTCCCCGGGGAGACCCTTCTCCCTGAAGGAACCCTCCTTCCTGAGGTGTTTCTTCTTGGCCCTGGGGGGACTCTTTCTCCAAAAGAGACCCTTTTCGCTGAGAGGACCCTTCTCCTCGAGAGGACCCTCCTTTTTGAGGGAACCCACCTCCCTGAAAGACCCTTCTCCCTGAGGGAATCATCCTCCTGAGGGGACCCTTTGCCCTGAGGGGACCCTCCTTTTTGAAGTGACCCTTCTCTCTGAGGGGACCGTCCTCCCTGAGGCATTTCTTGTCCCTGAGGGGACCTTTTACCCTACAGAGACCCTCCTTTTTGAGGGAACTCTGCTCCCTTAGGAGACCCTTTTCCCTGAGGAGACCCTTCTCCCTGAGCCGCCCTGCCCCTAAAACGTTTTTCAAAAATAAAAGTAAAAATTCAGAGCTGTAGCCGGGGCAGAGCGACCACCCCCAGCAGCCTCTATCAGAGCTGAGGTGTCGGCATGGCCTGTGCTGAGGCATTTTAAAAACCATCCCAAAAATTATGCCCGGAAGATCTGTGGCAGAAGGTGCTGCCAGCCCTGATCTGTGCTGGAAACAGCTCTTGGCTTTTGGGAAGGAAAAGGCTGTGTGTAAGGTACACACACAAACAAACACACACACACACAAACACACAAACACACACACACACAAACAAACACACACACACACAAACACACACAAATAAACACACACACAAACAAACAAACAAACACACACATGCTTTCATTTTCAGGGTAAACAGTCAGGGGCTGGTGAATTTCAATGTCAATGGGGAGCGGAGGGAAAACACAACAATTTCTCAATTAATGGGTTAAACTTCTATCTCCTGACTGGCAAAATCAGCCCGATCTGAGGCTGAGGGGTAAAAAGGCTGTACAAGGGCTGAGGGACCAGTGCAAGGTCACAGGGATTGTGCTTAGAAATCAGCCCTGCACTTCAGTCAGACATGTGAATACCTGTGAGAAAAATTAAAACTTCAGTGGTCGCAAAACTGGTCCCAGAATTCACTTTTTTTTCAGGTTAACTATTTTCTATCTCAGCAGCCTTCTCCTTGTACTTTCAGCCACAGGGTTTGGCTCCTGTAACATACCAAGGCCTTTGCCTTCATAGCAGTGACACCTCAATCGACTGTGCTTTGTCTGACTCCAGTTGATTTCCTCGAAGCCCAAGCTCAGTGTGAAGACTGCTCCTCCTTCCAACCAGGGGGAAGATGTGCAGATTCCCACAAAGGTGGTGCTGTGTGAGTTCCTGTAACCAAATGGAACAGGTTTGGAATTTAACTTTTAATTATAGTCTGATCAGTGTGCTTTCAATAGAAATCTTCTACGTTCCTTTATATGTGCAAAAGAAGGAAAATAATAAAAAAAAAAAGTGTTGTCCATAGAGTTATTAATGCCTCATCCCTGGAAGTTTTCAAGGCCAGGTTGGACAGGGCTTGGAGCAACCTGGTCTAGTGGAGGATGGCCCTACCCATGGCAGGGGGTTTGAACAAGATAAGCTTTAAGGTCCCTCCCAACCAAAACCATTCTGTAATTCTATCTGTACTAGCCATGGCAGAGCTCCCCCTGTTTTATTCTTTTGTAAGAATGAGTAAAAATATTGATAAAGGTAAGTTCTAAACTTATTTGGGTTTGCTTTTTTTTTTTTATCTTCATGGATGCAAAACTTCATAAAAACATGTAGAATATTCTTCTTGCTGCCAGATGAGAGTTGGAAACACGTTGACCAGAATTCCAAGGAGACCACGTTTGAACGAGTGGATAACAGATTTCGACTTGTTACAGTCACCACTAGAGGCACAGGAGTTACCCGGCTTGTATCAGCAGGGTGAGGACATGGCAAGTAAAAGTGAGGGAATTAATGGGATGTTCATGTAATGTGAGCACAGTTTGGGCTAGTGGAAGGTGTCCCTGCCCATGGCAGGGACGAAATGATGATTTTTAAGATCCCTTCCTACCCAAACCATTCTAGGATTCTATGAAATTCGGCGAAGTTCATCTGGAAACTGCTGGAGGCTTAATTGCCCACACGATGGCATCGCATGTTTAGAAAGTTCTCTGTGGAGCCTGCACTGAGGGCTTCGACACTGCTGAAAGTGTGTTTAGACTCCCACGTTTATAGACAGCATTCGTATAGAACTAAAAGCTTAAATAAGATATTTGTTTCATCCCTTTCCCGTTAACTCTGCAAACATAATACATGACCATGAGGACAAAACTCGGTTCTTGGTGAAAGTCCCTCCCTGGGCTACAAAAGCAGGTCCTGGGAAAAGTCTGTTGAATGATTTCTATCAGTTTTAATGAATTTCCACTTGATGCCAAAGAAGAAAAATGAAACATACATTACAAGAAAAACAAAGTTTTCCCATTCAGGTTAACTTTTTTTTTTCTTTAATTTATTTTTAAAGGATAGTATTTCTGTGGACATAGTGTTTCACATAGAATTGTATGATTTTTAATTTATAAGGGTTGTGTTTCATATTGTAGCTGTGTCTGGAGGATCTCCTTCAGCCTGGGAATACAAGATTAGAGATTCTGGTCTAACCTACCTTGCCCCAAGACTGACTGACCAGTATCACCTTCACAAACATATGATGACTTCATGACCTTTTTCTCCAACTACTGAGCACAAAACCAGCCAAAGGGTACCTGGCCTGCCTTAGCTCCAAGCAGCCAGTTTTGCAAAGATAAGTTCTGCTTTAGCCTCTTTTGTTCAAGTCCCTGTGAGCTGTGGGTTTATGTGCTTTATCTGTCAATCTAAACTGAGCTTCCTGCTGCTACTGGATGGTGTTTTGTCACTGCCTGTGACAGTAGGCTGTAAACTGCAGGCTAACTAACTCTTAAGGCCACAAGGTACTCACACTAAATCAGCCAGATTATGCTCCTGCTGCGGGGGAATTTCCAGGTCACAAATTGACACCCTCTCATCACCTTTTTGCACCAAGAGTGTATAAAGTCAAGTTAAAACCTGGTGCATAAGGGCAACAGTTCACAGAACTCCTGAAATGAGTAGTCACTTCCTCATGTATATTCTCAGATACCCAGCAGAGCTAGTCAAGTGTCTCCAGCTTTGTTTCTGCCAGTAAGAAAGAGAGAATACACTAAGATGCCTTTTAAGGACATTCAGGAATATACTGGTGTATAAAAAAGAGGAAGAAAATGCAAGAGGGTTCTAAAAGCAATTGTGGCTAATTTTGTGAATTGCTGATAGACTTGTGTTTGTTTGCAGAGGGAAAAAAAACAAACCCACAAAACCCCAAACTGTTTTATTTAAAAGACTGTATATCTTTGACTTGCATAAAAGGAAGAAGTTTGGTTTTATTAGTTTTCCAAGACTACAGAAAATCTAAATGACCTTAGTTCCAAATAATTCTCGTATCAGTAAAGTCTCATTTCAAGCAAATCTCCTTCAGTTAAAGGAAATTATTGCAAGGTAACAATGGAATGTAAATTATGAGCTGAGCAGCTGTGTCTTTATATCAAGCACTTCTGTTTTATTCAGATTATCTTTTATTCCCTTTAAAATTATTTTTTCTCCTACCTTGAGTTAAAAGAGAGAAATTTTGCTGCTCCTCAGTTTTGCAGATGTGTGTTAAGGTTGTTACCCTCTCTGTCAGTGATGCAGAGAATCATTCTGATTCACCTTTGCACTGTGTTCTTATTGAAGGCCTGCTGAGAAAGGGACCCTGCTGTGCCAAAGACTGTGCAGACAGAGAGACAGAGGATTTCTGTTCCCAAGGGCTTATAATTAGCTACATTCACACATACATTGAGCAGAACACCAGTCCTCTCAGCCACAGACATCAGAGAACTCCAAAAAATGGTGAGACCACATCAGTGGCATTTTTCAGCAGGGTATTTTGGGAGCATATTCACCTTTTGGGAAGGGGAGGTTGGGACTATACTTCTAAATAAGCCATTAGGTTTCAACACTCTCTTGCAGGCTGTAGTCTAGATAAGGACTAGTGTAAATCACATGGAGGAAACACATTTGATACTTTTAACTTCCCAGTTATTACTCAGCATTTCAGTTATATTATATTGCAGAACTCTGGCCCTTGCAAAAGAGGTCAAACGACCTCTTGAAAACAAGGGAGTTAAATTATAAAAGACCTTTGTGCATGTTTTAGGGTCTAGTGAACACAAAAGTCATTGCACCTCTTCCTAAGGCCATTTAGGCTCCGTGTTTCCTGTTTTGATGTAGATGATGTATTTTTACAAGCCATCTGCAGTCACAGTATGTGGAATCCTGCAAAAATATTGATATTTGATGAAACTAGTTGCAGGCCCAGCCCACTGATCATCTTCTAGTGTGACCAGCATAGAATTCTTTTGACTTTAAAAGGTATAGTCCAAACCTTCCCCCTCATGTCCTTTTATATCCATGTTGTTCAGCTCTGCCTGTAATTGGCTGCTGGGACAGCTCTACCTTTGCAGCTACTTACCTGATTTGCCTTTGGGGTTCTGTGGCATTGCCATATTTGGGGAAAAGAAATGGTCTGACTCTCATAGAACTGTGTTCTTAGTCAGACACAAAGGAAGTTCTGGGTTTTGCAAGGCTTTATACTTCCTTTTACAAAACCCTCTGCCTGCTAGTAACCAATTCCCATCTATAAAAGGAGAAAGAAACAGTACAGTGAAGAGATGCATCTGATTATTGGGGGTTGGAATTAAATGACCTTTATGGTCCCCTCTAAACCTTTCCATGAGTCTTTGATTATGGGTAGAGATTATAGTATGCAGCATCTTAGAAAATGTAGTTACAGATTGGATAAAAGCCTCCTGTCATAGCCTATTAACTGAGAAGAAATGTGTTGTTGCCAAGATGCAGCTGCTACATTTACAGCAAAACTGCAGTGCCTGACTTTACTAAACTAAATTGTAGCATGTCTTGTGTGCATATAGATCATAAACATTGCTCTGGGCTGTGGACTAGATCCTGGTGACTGGAAGAAGTACATGACCCATAGTGAGGGGGGAATATGAAAACAAAGCTCTCCTAGACTGCCCTGGCTTTGTCTTCCTTGAAATACTGTAGCATTTTGAGTGGAGGTTGGATCCAGGGATCCTTTCCATCCTCTATGATTCTGCGATTAGAGCTCTTACATGGGAAGACAAGGTGGAATTATTACACAGCTAGATAAAATAGTCAGAAGGTAGGATAATTAATGTGCAAAAATATTATAGGGCTTAGGCTTGGAGCATTAATGAAGATATGAGATGTTGACCATGCTGACTTCTGGACTCCACAAAACAAGAAGCTAAAAGCAAGCTGCCTGGAGTGAGGAGAAGAGATACTTTTTTTTTCTTCCACTTTGGAACAATTAGGAGGAAGACATTATTCTTTTCTTATGCAGATTTCCTTCATAAAAAACACTGCAAATTACCAGGTAGCTTAGGTACATATATAGTTTAACAATCAAAAATGAGGAACTGGGACTGACTTTGTTCTTATGTAGAGAAAAAGCTGATTCCAATGTCTTTTCCAAGTCAGCTTTCTTGCAGTTTACTGGATGTAGGAAGTGCTGGGCATCTGAAATATGAGAGGATCTCCTTTGGGTCGGATGTTCACAAGATACAGCACAAGCAGTACAGCTGTTTGTATTGCTGCTCCTGCTGTGCACACAATTGTCATTGTTCATGCCACTGAGCAATGTGGTTGTGCATCAAACTGGAAGAATATCCATCTACTTCTGACTGAAGGGCATTGACTTGGCACAGAGAATCTGGGCTGCACAGCTGAAGTCCTCTTCACCCCTGCAGGTTGTATGGGGGGGAGCTATAAGGCCTTCACGTGCCCCAGGTTTGTGCTGTTCTGTACCTGTCAAAACAGAGAGAGGTGCATCCCATGATAACTGGATGACATTTGGGGATGTTTATGTTGGCCATTTCAACACAATTTTGATATAGTTTGATATAGAGTTCTTATAAATCATTTCATAACAAGACCTATGGCCCAGGTTGGTGTTAGGAAATCTTTCACTTTAAGGAATCATCTACTATAATCTTCAAATAAACTAGAACTAATTTAACAAGGTAAATAATTCTTGTCAAGGGAACCTTCTCCATAAAATATGCAACCTGTGATCCTCAGAAACTCTACACAACCACTTCTGTTTATTTTCTGCTTAGCCCAGGTCTAGTTTGAATTAAACAGACCAGATTACTCACTGCATTACCTAACCCTCTGTATTGTTTGTAAAGGCTTGCAATCTGTGTTTAGTGAAAACTGCAGAGGAGTAGAGCAAGTCTGTAACTGAATAAAGGAGTCAAATGGTAGAATTCTGTCTCTCACTGAACATCAACAGTCCTTGGGTTTGTTTCTTTTTTTGTTTGGTTCACTCGTTCAGTTTAATTTTGTTGGGTCAGTTTTTTGTTGGCTTTGGTTTTTTGGTTTTTGGGGGTTTTTTAAAGGCTGCTTTCCGTGGAGGAATTTTAGAATTTGCTCAGAGTATTTGTTCTAATAAGGAAGTTTTCCATAGAGTCTGATGATGCATAACTGGAGCTGTTTCTATATATAGTACTGCAGGATGGAAAGCAGAGGATCCTTTTGCTGTGGATGGGAACAGAAGGTCTCATTTCCTCAGAGAACAGCCTGCATTTCAGCTATTTCAATTGTAATGTGGGCAACACTACACACAGTAGAACTGTGGCCCAGTTTTTTTGAGCTGGACATGAACATAGATCACCTCACAGTGTGCTATCACAGCTGTGTCCTTGTGCTCAAACTGTTTGGTCTATCAACCCAAAACCCTGGAATTGTTAACGCCAGCAAAGACAATAGGGTGGAAATAAAGTGCAAAAAATCAAACCATTTTAGAGCACCGTGTCTGGCAAACAAAAACAGGGTTTGAGTGGGAGATGGGAAAATCTTGGTAACATTCCTGAGCTCATTTTCACCCTTGTTCAACTCTTTAACTCATGTAGACTCTTTCTCTTCCTCCAAACAGTGGGAGAGAACTCTTTAGAACATCTTAGATCTGTAGTTACTAGTGAAGGAAGACTTTTTCAGCAGGGCAGCTGTTTCTTGGCAGTGTAAAATATTTATACCCACCATGTAACAAGAAACCAGTGTTTTGTCCTCTGGTGTATGGAAAACTCTTAGGTTTTGAAAATAAGCGATGGAAACATGATCATGGCCTGCGTGATTTTAAGGGCCATTAAATAAACTAATAAATTTCTTGCAATTTCAGGTGTTTGTGCAAGTAACATTGCACTGGTTTAATTGTTATGTGCAGGTCCTTTTCCCACCACCTGGGCTGGGTTGTATCTATTCACTCTCTTTTTGTGCTGTACAGTTTATTTTCCACCATAGCTCATCTTTTTGACTGCTCCCCATATTCCTGTCCAGGTGTGGAGCGTGTCTATCAAAGTTTTTGGCTTACCTGGAGTAAACAAGTGCCCACAACAGGGTGGTTATTGCCCAAAGCAATACTTCCCAAACCAGTGCAGATTGTAGGAGCATCCAGTTGTTGCTGCCTGCTCAGTGCTGGGATCTCTGCTCCAGAAATATCTGGGAAAAGGTGAGAAGATGAGACACCGGATATGTGTGTTAGGAAGCTGTTCCTGCCTCATGCCTTTCCCAGGGGTGTAGATATATGCATATATACCATATATAGTGTGCAGTCATGTCCCTGTACTGCTCAGCATTACCAAATGACTCCAATCAGTTGCAGGGTTTTTTTAATCAAAACTTCAGGCTATAAAAGCCAGGTTCTGGAGCAGCTTCCTATGGGATCCAGCAGCTTCCTATGGGATCCAGCAGCTTTCTGTGTGATCCAGGTGTGCTGCCTACTAGAGCCATAAGCTGTGGAAGGAAGTTAGGGCAGTAAATTGCTTCCATCTCAGTGTTTATCCCATGTGTGGGATAAGTCCAGTGCCTTCACAAAACAAGTGTGGCAGATGTGCCTCCCACAGCTGCTCTCCAGAACAAAACACAGCAGCTTTCTCTTTATTTTCGGCTTTCAGGTTGTACTTTATCTCATAAGAGTGAAACCATCATTAAGAACAAATAGTCTTAAACTGCAAATCCAACTATTCTCCACAGCACAATGAGCTGTTAAAGGTCAGACTGGCTCTTTACAGCTTGGGCCCAATTATGCATTACAAACAAGCAAGAGGATAACATGCTTTTATCCTGAGTAAGGTACCGGTTAGATCAAGATCATAGCAGAGAGCTGTGACAGCTTTGAAGGGCTGCCTGTAAGTCATCTGCTGCTGGAGGTGACTCAGAGAGTGTGTCCCCAGAGAAGGCTCAAGTTGCAGTTTAAAGCAGTGATTTTCAACACTAAACAGGAGATACGTGACAGATCAGAGTCCAAACCAAGCTCTACCTTTATAATGGGCTCTGCTGGCAGCTGATGTGGGGAAGGGGGGATTCAGGGTGATGGGGAGAAGAAGGTGAAGTGATGAAATGCTCTGTGTGATCGGTTGGGAGTGAAAAATGATAAAAACCTCTTTTTTTCTTTTTCCCCAAGGTCTGTTCTTGTCTTGCTCTGTGGCCTCAGGCAGGTTAAGTTGTACATCTCTCCATACAAATCCTGCAAGGGTGCAGGGTGTAATGCCCCTGATTTTTCTCAACTGCTGTAGAAACATGCTTTCTAACAACACAGGGAGGAAAAGTAACAGCACTGTTGTTACAGGTTCCCCTGAAACCACCTTTTTGTTCCCATCCTGCAGAAGGACCCCCCTTGCCTTAGGCACCTCCTTTCAGAGCTGATGTACCTGCCAAGCAGGAGTTACACGGAATAAAACTGATTCCTGTGGCTTGAGGTGCATCAAAAAACCACTTTGCACTCAAAAGAAGCCACAAATCTGGCAGGAGCATGAGGCCACCACCAAAACTGGGTGTTACACGATACCTTATTCCACTTGGGAAGAGCTGGCTGTTTCTATGGCTACTGCTGCCTTTCTCTCCAACACACCAACCATTGGTTCTGATGAGATCATATTGTATTATAGAAAAAAAAAATCACTCACATACTGCTTTACACTGCAGCATTTGTTGAGCTACTATATATCTGACTTCCTATAATAAAGACATTTTCCATTTAATGTATTCTTGTAAACGGGTAGGATTTCCCTCATCTCTGATTTATAAATGCATCCATTTTGGCCTCGAAAATCCTGGTTCTGGTTTCCATGACAACAGGCTTGATTTTTGAGGCTATTTCTTCCCCTTACTTCATCTTGGGTGGGAAGAGTTTCTGTCCCCTTCCAGTAGCAGTGCAATGGGCAAGCAAAATGGTTGCCTTGAAGGAGAATGAGCAGACCTGAAACCAGAAACTTCAGCCAGCTTTTTTAAACACAGGTGAGAAATGCATCAGAAGAATGGCACCACAAACCCAGCACACGCTTGAGTCAGATTTTTTGTACACAGAAAGTCAAATGCACATATAATCCCAGGAAATTTTAGTCATGTACCCCCCTGTCAGGTATTTAACAAACTGATCTGGTAATCCTGAATAGCACTGTGTTGGCACATGACAAAATAATCAGAGGATCTCGCCAGTCTGTTCATGTTGTAACCCTGTAGATTAATTAGTACTGAATGCACTTTATTATTTGAAATACACTCTCACTGTCTCTATTTTTTCCCTCAGTCCATCCCATCTACAGTACTGGACTGCCAGGACTGTCTCTTTCATAGGTCATTCACAGCTAAACCATATTCTTTCAATGTGGAACAGTGCATTTGAGACTCTGGGTACTAAAGGTACCATAAATAATCCATAACTGCTTTGCAAGGATCTTTCTAGTGGGTTTTTTCGCTTTTAACATTTCCAGGAAAAATGAAGATAGACAGCTGCTGGTACTCCATGGCTGAAGTGGTTTAGCAATTGCTCTTCTAAAATGATAAAAAGGTGGTTTTTGCAAACTCCTCAGAAAATCCCTGGAGAGGGCCTTTGTTCCTTTTTCCTGCAGAGAAGAAACACAACTTACCTACATCCTTCTGGGTAATAAGTACCTTCAAATGTGCCATCCACTAAGGTTGCAGATGAAATGTCTCTCTTTGGCTTGTCATAGAGTTTTCTTACTTTCTGTGAGTGAAAGATATTATGGAACCACAGTGTCTAAGGTATCATTGCATTATGGCATTATAATCTCATTTGCATTTGAGCTGGGAGCAGCCTGATAAAGCTGTTCCTTAAACTAGTACAGGATTGCTCCCAGTGTTTAATCCGAATGCTGGAGCTGCCAGTCCATCTTTTGGAGCAGAAGATTCAAGTGTAGGTCAGGTATTCTGCACTATGACAGAAGGCAGGAGTACCTCATTTAGGCATGTTTTATCCACAGTGTTGTAACCTGCCAGTAATTTACATTAGAGGCTGGCCTGTGACCCCCAAACAAAGCACAGTCCCCACCTGTGCAGCCCCTGACACATCTCAGGGTAGAATGAGATTATCACTGAAAGCCAAGCAGAGTTCAGAGTGAATCAATATCAGGCACAACACAAAAGTGATTCAGTGATTGCCTTAAATAACCACAGGTTTTCCCTTCTGTCATGACTAAACCATCCTGCCCTAACAGCCAGTCCCTTGGGGACAATGAAGTCACAGCAGCACAATTTCAGCTGTGCAGCCAACTGGAGACAATATGAGCACCCTTGTCTTCTCTGCCCTACCATGGCATGGAGGGGATTAAAAAGTGAGTCATTGGCTGGAAAAAGTACTGGTCCTGTGGCAGTAGGATGAGTCTTAAAAAAGCTCTTGCATTCTGTAAAGGTTAATTGTAAGAGTGGTGAAGCAGGAAGACACGACTGAAAACAGTGAAACCTATGCATTGTGTACTGTTAACTTCTCAGATATTAACGTTTCCTTCTCTAAAATGCTCTCACACTTAAAACACTTCAGTGGATTTATAACCCAGGACAATGAAAAAAAATACAATTTTTACTTGTTTGGGTTTGTCCTCATTTCATGTGATATTGTACCACACAAGAGTATTGTGTTGAAATCCTAAATGTTGTTTGTAGTACTGCCTGAAAGTTCCTCCAAATAGTTAATTGATTCTTGCTTTTCATGTAGCCCAGAGCAAGTTTAGAGGAAATAAATGTAACATGAGTTAGTCATCCTTAAATAATCTCAAAGCAGGGAGCCCTACATTAACAGCAGGCTGATAATAAGCTGTGTAGTGCTATCTCCAGCAAAGCTTTGCCCATGACTTCAAATAAATTTACGAGCTGTCATTTATTTGTTTGTTTGCTTTTTCTCAGCAGGAGAATTTACTGTCTGCTTGCTGAAGTATCAATTATTCTTGTAAAATTGAATAGTACTGTCTTAGGATTATGCACATCGAGGCTAACATAACATGAGACATGATGAAAATTAATAAGACACCAACTCTGTTAAGACATCTGTGCTAGGTACTTTTTTCGTACTAGAGATAAATCTTATGTTAGAGGAACAGCAAAGAGAGGGGTTACAAAGAACCAGCAGACTTGATCTAGCCCTGTAAGTTTTTGTTTTTGTAGGCTTCTGCTGTCAGACCATCTGCAGCTGCTGCTGGCCAGGCATTGATCTGACCTCTGAGGGACAGAAATCCATTCTGTTCCAGGGCTGATCATTCAAGTCTTTTTATTCTAGTGTTTAAATTGGATTTTACTCAATTTTATTTAAATCCACTATATCAACACTTAATGAAGAGAAGCCCTCCCACTCTGCTCTGTGGCATCCCACTGTATACCACCATTTTAGTCTTTTTTGTGTCTTATACATATTCATTTCCCTTAATCTTTCATGCTAATGTGTGTTTCCCTTTCCCATTCTTTTTCTCTGCTCGATTATCATTAAATGCCCGGATTAGATTTAAATGTTAGAAAAGCCCTGAGAAATGCCACAGAAATGCCACATACTGGAGGAGAACACAATAGTTTATGTTTAAAAAGCCCTGAGCATGGTAATATCTGCTTTCCAGGCTGGGGGGCTGTTCTGGCCACCCCTCAGAACAAAACAGATCCCTTGAGAGAAATAGATTTCTGTTGCTGATGGTGTTTTGATTTTGAGCTTTGATACTGAAATTGGAGTTTCAGAAATGAATCCTGTCTTCTCTCTAGTTTATCTCTGCCCTGACATGATAATGGGTCATTGGAACAATCAGCTGGCTTCATTAATTATTAATCCTAACACATGGCAAAAGCAATCTGGAGATTCACTGGATGTTCGGGGGTCTGTTGATGGAAACGTAAAGGGGGCAATTAACAGTCTGAAAAAGCCAAAGAGGAGGGGGAATCAGAAGGCTTAGGTATAGCTGGAAGAATAAGAAAATACTTTATTTTGCAGTCAGATGCATATCTTAAGTTACATTAAAGTGAAAATTCTTACAACAGGGCATGAAGTTCACATGAGGATTGGGTTACTTGGCTGAACTGTGGTCTATTAAAATATGCATTTAGAGACCTTTACAAGAATTCTGATACTTGCTGAGTGCATAGAAAAAGCTGTGAGCTGTTCACTCTTAGGGAACTGGATACCCAGACAAACAAGATTATAACTGTCATCCATGTATTTTAGTAGCTTTATTGTGTATTCACGCTGAGGGGAGAAAACGGAAATCTTGAGACCATGGAATAAGAGCATAACACGACTGCTGTGTGAAGGGGACTTTTTATCTACACAACCTGGGCAGCCTAATGGACAATGAGACTTATTGCCACTGTAGAAAGGGAACTGTATGGATTTGCCCCAAAGGGTCACACAACAGGAGGGTTATTCCTGTGGTCTCTCTCTCTGTTTGCTGCACAGACACTGTACCACAACAGGAGCTCCTGCTCTGGGGTTTCAAAATGGCTGTAAAAATCAAGGGCAGAAGGAGCTCTCCATACATTTTCTGTCTCCCTAAAGCAAAAGACTGCACAGATGAGGTTTGTGCACAATAGCATCTTATTTGAATATCTTAAAGAACAGAAGGAGAGAGTGGTGTGTTCCAAACCCCCACCCTGGTCTGTGATGCATTGCCAAGGTCTGCTGGTCTCCTGGATGTTGTCTGGATTCAGCTTCCAGGTGAGCTTTCCCTCCCCGTGGCTCCAGTGACATCAGAGCCACCTGTGACAGCTCCAGATAGGCCATCCCAGTTTTTCCAGCACTATCCAACTCCAGTGGCAGTGGAAGGCAAGCCTGGAAAGGTGAACAACCACCCCTGAGCCCAAACTGCTGAGGAGGGTTGGCAAACCACGAAGGGCTTTCTCTTGCTTAGGCTGCCACAGCTCACGCAATGCCACAGATTGATGGAGCTCCAGACTGTCTAATGGAGTTTTTCCCACAGAGCAAAATATGAACCAAGTCAATTGATTGCATTTTCATTTCTTAAGGGAGGTGCAGCCCACACATCCCATTGTGTCTGAGCACAAAGACAGTCTGCTGAAGCAACCCTGTGTTATCTCACGGGTGCTTTGTGCTGCATCTTGCTTCTGATGTAAAAGGAAATGGAAATTCTTGCTCAGAAGACCTACCTGACAAAGAAATAAATTCTTGTAAATTCAGTGTCCCAAACTGAGGAAATTACAGTAGCTGCTGCTGCAAAATACTGTGATAAACCCCCATCCATCTGGAATGTTTCCATAATCCACTACAGATTGCCAATTAATTGCATACTTACTTCTGTGTAATAAGGACACATAATAGGCTGTATCAGGATAAGTCCCCCAGAGGCAGTGGAAATACATCACAATATTCCTAAATAGCATATTTTTATTTAAGCAATGCCTGCAAGCTTCTGTCTGGTACTAGAAACCTATTGTGTGAGGGACTGTACATGTAATGAAAGGCCAGATTTACAGCACACACTCCTATTAAGTGAAGCACTTAATTGCTTACTTCAAGTACCAGTTTAAATAAAGTGATCTCATCTATTTTCTAATTAAATGTTGGAAATTACAGTGTGGCTGGTTGGAACACAAGGTTTTTAAATCCTCTTCTGGAGCAGGAAGAACTGTAAATAGTTTCTTATGCTGTTAAGATTAAAATGAGACTGGTCTCACAGAAAGATCCTTTGAACAATGCCGCGTGAAATAATTAGGATTTTGCACATATAAATAAATCACAGATTTTTTTACTAGCTTATGGACAAGCTTTCATTGACAGTTTGGATTTAGACTAAAATTCCCTTTAATTAAACCAAATAATGGGAAGACATAGTTTTTAGAAACACACATATTTCATTTTATTCAGACTAATCAAGTTTTTCCATGCTCTACTGAACATAATGTTCATGATGACCTTTCTCTGCTTACAGTAGTTTTAATATTTGACTGCAGTGTTTCTGGGAAGCAACTCAGTAAACAGTAATTTTTGTCCAGAGGATAAAAAGGGGGAAAATCTGTATGTTTTGAAATCAAGTCAGATTGTCACAGAATTGTTAGATCTAAGGAAGTGATGAATCTTTACTTTATTGCATTTACTGCTACAATCAGTTGTCCCTGCATATCTGTGACAGCTACAAGAGAGTTGTGCACTTCTTCAGTTTAAAATTTTCCTGAACATTTTGTGTTTGTCCTGTATAAGTAGAACATTTCAGTACCCAAAGCCACACTACTGGATGTAACTCTGTACCTCCATGTGAAAGTCTCTCCTGGAGTACCAGAGGCAACAGAGTCTTCATTTTAACTTGGATTTCTCTGAGAACAGTTTGGGATTGCTCTAGGATGCCTGGAAGGGCTCCCACTGAATACCTCAGCCTGTGACTATAACCTGTCTCGAAAACAACTGATTGTTTTCATGTTGTTGGGTTTTAGGATGTTGCTCCTGTGTGTGTTTTTCAGACAGCAGAAAGCTGAGCACTTAGAGCAGCTTGCTGCTATCAAGGAGAACCATTTCTCTTTGCCATTTCCTTCTCCTGAGGTTGCCACAGGACTGATGAAGCAAAAATTCTGTCACGAACCACCACGTGTAAGACAAGGCAGAGTGAGGCTGGACCCCCCTGCTCCTCCTATATTACACATCCCAAACTCAGGGTAATTTCAGAGGATTTCACACTCTAAAAATAGTGTCCCCATTACCTAGGACCTCTGGGTCTTCCTAGGAACAGGCACCACATAAATTAATCATTCAGCTCCACCTTCACTTTTGTGCTATAGACTAAGCTGAGCTTAATTCCCAGGAGTGCCAAGCATCCATTTGACAGTAACAACAAGGGAAATGTTATTTATTACCCCTGGAAGCACTTGTGTCCATGGGAGACTCAGCTTCCATTTAGCCTCTAACAAGCCCATGTGCAATTTAGAACAATTTAGCTTTTTTATGCTTAAAGGGAGAAGTCACTTCAATAGATTATAAATAGATGGGTGGGTTTTCTTCTCTCTTAAATGCAAAGTTTGGGGTTTTTTATTTTGCTGTTCTCAGATGGTTTTTATACTATCAAACTAGAGAATCTGATTTCTGTAATCCAATCAAAGATTTTAATAATGAGAGCAGTAGTTATGAAGCAAATAGAAAACTTCCACTGTCTCTTTTCAGTCCTGATGAGATTCTTCCCTTTTAACCGTCTCTGAAATCCATCTGGGAAGCCTCTGCATCACTTGCAGACACTTGTCTGCTTTGATAGTAGGTTGTGGAAATGCTGATTAGAACCATTTGATCTGGATTGGTATTAAAGTGTCTATAAGAACTCACTCCCACAGTGCAAGATAAAACTATTGGTTCCTCCCACGTAACAGATCTCAGGAAGTTTCTTACACCTTCAAATACAAGGGGAAAGCTTCAGGAATCTAAAATCTCCTGAATATGACGACAGAATTCCATCACAATTTCTCTTCTATAGAGACAACTTATTCCTCATTAGTTTCCTTTTTTAATTAACAAAAAAGCCACTTCTGAATATAAGACCGAATGGTCCTCCAGCTTTAAGACATCTTTTCACTACAAATGACAAACTACCAACACCTTTCTCATGTCCAGCTGCAAAGTATTTTAACATCTGATTATAATAAGAACACCTAAAATAACAAATTAACTCCTACTGGCAGATAGGAAATAAAAAAACATGCTGCCCAGTTGGCATGTGTCTGTAAAATAAATATACACCTTTAAAGTGCATATCTATACACTCCTGCAGGCCGTTATAGCTGGGTATGTTTATGCATCAGACAGATATAACCTTCTTTTTTCTTTGTTGTGTTCGTGGATTAATTTCAGATACACCAAATCCTCAGCCATATGAATTCTTCGAGTTGCATTGAAGTCCTGAACATTT